TGGGAAACGGTTAAATCGGAAGTCTATCGTTTTGCGACCACAACTAGGGAAGATCAGGGCCGTGCGAAGCACGCGCGGGCCCCAGTACAGCCATTTTGATGGGCCCCCCTAAAGGGACCCCGAACATTTTTGAGTGTCACGACTGCTCAAATTTTCACCCAAAAGTCTTTAAAAAAGCACGCCTCGAGTATAATTTTTTTTTAGGTATTATTGAAGTAAAACCTCTTTGCTTTACGAGAATTCTGATCGCGTAAGGGGAGTATGAACAGCGTATCAGCCACGACCGGAGGGGGGATACGCACATGCTTGTCGCTTGATTGAGAGAGATACATTCCATGATTGAAAATTCGAATTAAATTTAATCTCTGGTTGAATTCAAAGTTGGTGTTGAATGATGGTATATGAATGTAAGGTTTTGCTCTAAAATAAACCGTTAAGGTTCTAAAGCCTGTAAAATTTGCAAAAAGGTAAGTTTAAACTGTCAATATTTCCAAAAAAGTTGAATTTAGGTGAAGGGTATGGTATATGACATGAAATCTGCTCAGAATTTTACGTTGTAGAAATACAATCCGGATATTCATCCAATAATATACAGAGTATTCCATTTAAAATGGGAGAGTTGAACGTTGAACCACGACCAAGGTTCCTCAAGTTAATAGGTTGTCTGGTAATGGGTAACTTGATGACGCATCTGGGGTGCCTTATGGAGATTTGCATTGTGTTGTACACCCATACATCAGATGACGTCATAGAGTTATCAGGCGATCTACCTTTCCCAAACAACCTTGACCACGACCAGCTTTTCTAAAACACTCTGTGTATAAGTATGCGAAAGTGAGTTTAAAATAAAATAATAATTTCAACCATTTCAACCATAAAGCTTTTATTAGAGACACGTCTTTCTAAAATGTAATAAAAAAGGAATAGTGGGTTCCATTTATAACCAATAACCCTGTACCATAGACCTAAGAACATAATATTTGGCGGGCCGGGCCCCTATACGGAACCCGGGCCCCGGTAATTTGTACCGGCCGCACCCCCCTATGCACGGCCCTGGGGAAGATATGGAGGAGCGCAAACTCCTTTAGACGTACCTATAACGCCTGTTACGCTTCATGAAGAAGATGTTTTGCATGTAGAGTTTATCTGTGTTTGGAGCAAAATTCAGTTAGACTTTTTATTGTGATAATGCTTATTTTATTATCAATGTAATCAATATTAACTGAGTTAAGCTTTCGCAGCCGTCGTCTAAATGATTGTTGTGTTTCGGGCTGTTTGGCCGTCGTGCTCGTCATCAGTTCACCTTCAGTCGTTTGATGGAACAGATCTCCTGAAGATGCCGAGCAGTCGAATTGGCGAAACGTCGAGAAATTATTTTTCGAAAGAACGACGGTCACACAGCCCGAAACACTACAACCATGTAATCATTATATTGATTTTTTTATTAACGGGAAGGTTACAAAAGAGAAATGAACGAATAGAGCGATAAAGTGCATATAAGGTTTATACTGCGTAAAAAAAATCCATGATTGGTTTGTGTTCCCGTAGAAGTCGTAATGCCTATGGAAAAAAGAGTAATTCTTGATTTAATATACATTTTTGAGAAATCGGTTAGCGATAAAGGCACTCATGTTGGTATCAAATTTAAGACAAAGGAATACTTTAACGAAACAAAGTTACTAGATAGGGTGTCCGATTTAAAAAAATAGCGTAAAACGCAATTGAACATATCAATATTTGAATAACGATTTTGACCACCCTGTATAATACTCTGTCAATTTATGGACAATAAGCTTACACGACTAACGTATAATGTCATTTTTACCTATTTTGGTCTGCGACGAAAACACCCGTTTTTTTTTTTTGAATTTTGCAAAATTTTACTAAAGTAGTAGTAGGTATCGTCGTTGTCGTGTATAAAAAAGTATGTTTTTTAGTCGATTTCGCCCATTTGGCGTCGACAACAATACATGTGTGTTTTAACATCCTCCAATAGCGTTCTGCAAGTCTTAAGAATAATCCAAAAATCATCCATTACAGTTCAAATTAATACTTAGGAAACACCCTGTATATATGTATTTTGACAATTTTCGCCTTCCAGTATAACACCACTGACCAAGATAAAGTATTATGTATTTTTTCGATCTGCAATAGACAATGGTAAGGAAAAACAAGAGAATTTATTGTACCTGAGAAATACAACCTCATATCTCTAGAAGAACAAAGCGTGGAGGGGTTGTACATGAAAAGATTGGACGAAAACTTACAGTATAGTCCGAACTTCCAAAACCTTGAAAAGCATTACCAGCATATCAAAGAGAGTATTCACAGTGCAGCATTTGACGCCCTAGACAAATATGAAAAAAATGGAAGAAGACAAAAACATTATTGGTAAGATCGAGAGACATAGCAGATAAATGAAAGAAATAACAACAGTATCTAAGTTCAAATAAGACAGGAGACAAAGAAAAATAATATAAAGAAGCACAAGCAAGAGTACCGAAACAAAAACGAGTCATGAAATAGAAACTGTACGCATATTAATACTTATCTGGGAAGTAAAAGAAACACAGAAAGTTGAAGATTAATGAATAACATGAGAACAACAAAAACCAAGGACATTATCAACACAATAACGCCCCAGCAATAGGAAGAGTATTTTGAAAAATTAATGACAGAACAACAGGCAGACACAAAACATAACAACTGCAGAATCACCAATAAGAGTTATAAAAAGAGAAGTTAAAAAACGGCGTAGCTTCTTGAAAAATTGGATAGCGCCAGGCCCACGAGAAATATATGGAGAACTGATAGAGTGTGGGAACAATAAACTCTACAAACATCTAACAAAACTATTCCAAACATGCATAGATAAACATACAGTACCGGAAGAGTGGAAAATAAGCTACCTATTTAACAACGGTATATAAGAAGTGAGAGACAGATGCAAATGCGAAAACCAGCAAGGAATTGCAGTGACAAATACGTTGAACAGAGTTTATGGAAAAGTTTCTGGAAAAGCCAAATTAGAGAACGAGTACAAAGATAGTGAGGCAGAAGAACAGGCCGGTTTTAGAGTAGGAAGATCAACTGTAGACCACTTATTTAGTTTGACTCAGGTGATAGAAAGAAACTAGCGTATAGTATAACCAAAAACTTCATTTACTCTATGTAGATCTAAAGAAAGCATATGACAATATCTCATTGCAAAAGCTATGGGAAGCTCTAGAAAAGACCAATATCAACTTAGAACTAATAAAGGCAGTCAGAACGCTCTATAGTGATGCAAAAACGAAGATTAAACAGGGAAGCATAATGAGCAAAGGCTTTACACCAACTCAAGGGCGTGAAAATGAATTCTGCATATCACTAACGCTTTTTAATATATACCTAGAAGAAACACTTAAGGGTTGGAAAAACAAATTCAGACACATGGGAATACCGCACAATGAATTCAACCTATACTCTTAGCTTTGCAGATCAGATGACCAAGTAGGTACTAACAGCAGCAAAGATCTTGAGATCCTCTGCACAAAGTAAGAATTGTCAATGCTTTATGCATGGAGATAAATCATTTATAAACAATACAAATAAAAGCAGACCAAGAATTGACCCCTGAGGTAACCCAGAGCCCAGAGGTAGCTTGGACAGTGAGCATCATAAAATTTATAAATCGAGATTCATCACTAAGATAAGAAACTAGATAATCAGTCATGAAAGAGAAGTTTCGAAACTTTTTAATTAGAATTATCTCCATGAATAAACTTATCAAAGGCTTTAGCTCGATCTGTGTAAACCGGATCAACCTGTTATCCGTCATCCAGATGCCTCGCGGCATACTCAGAAAAAACTTCAAGATTTGTAGCTATAGACTTAGCTCTTTGGAACCCATTTACATGGTTATATATTTTATCATGTAAAATCAGTTCAAATATCTTTGAAATAGCTGGCAGCTCTGCAATGGGCCTATAGTTTTCAATGAAGGTTTTATTGCCAGATTGATGGATCGGCATGACCTTACCTCCTTTCAACATTCTTCTTTCAGGGATCTGATATTTAAATTAAGTATGTAAAGGGTGTTTATATCATGAATATTCTTTGAAAAGGCATTCTGGCACACCATCCACACCAGGAGACGCTCGATGTTTTGAAAAGAATAACAGCACATATGTCCTGCTCACTTATTTCATTTATTTTCAGAACATAATCAGTATGATTTATTAACAGCTCCACAATACGGTACTTGCATCAATTTTTTTTTATCGCTGATTTCGTTAGTCGATAAAAAATAAGTCGACATGTGTTTTTTCTTTTTCTTCTTAGTCAAAAATTGACGGAGATACAACGCTATAAAATTTGCCTATGACGTCACTTATCATATAAATCGATTACGTCGCACATGCTCAGTATATCTATATATACAAAACTTAATATTTGTATAACTTCCGGTATAATCGTACTAGCACAAAAAAAAAACATGCATCAATTTTTTTTCGATTTCCTACAGTTTGTAATAAACAATAATCAATTTAATTTTTCATGCAAGTACCCTATTGCCCGAGAAACCAGTTTTATCATATATCCTTAAAATATTAAATTAACAATTATTGTCAACAAGTTTCTGATTTTCATACGAAAAATTGAAGCCGAGCACCTCACCGAAACAAAAGAGCGAGAAATAGAAACAGTAAAAGGCATTGCATTGTCAGCCGAACAAATTTTCACGCTGAACCAATTAAATCAGGATTTGATTATTTGATATGAAACTTGGAATGGAAATAACCCAAAAAGGTTCCATACATACTATTGTGTATTTTTTTGGTCTTATGTCTACTCGAATTTGGCACTCATTAGGCTAATAGTTTTGTTTCTGCGGCTGTACTGGTGTACTACCTCAGATATTGAAATTAACCTTTTTCTTTTATTTTCATAGGATTGCATGTATAGATCGAATACTACTCAAATAAGATATATTCTAGTGATAATATCTAGTTACCTACCTCCAAAATGCAGCAGTCTTTGTTACCACAAGACATGTCTAAAGAGGTTTGTTCTTCATCAGAATCTTCATCAGAAAAAGCTCTTTGGTCAAGATTTTCATCTTTAATTTGATATAGTTCCCTATTTTTCTTGACAGTTAGATGAAGCATTTCCTGTAAGTCAGATACAAATTTTCCATCTTGTACCTTATCAGTTACCAACATAGGCAGATCTGGTGCAGGCAAGCATGACAAATAAATAGCTGTACCTGTAGCCACGCCCACTAGCATTTTTTCACCAACACCTATACGAACTTTTAGGCTAAAAATTGCGTTCATTCCTTTAATTTTTAATTTGTTAACAAGCAACCTGTGAAGTTCGTATTCTAAGAAAGGCAGACCATCAGATATTTCTTTGGCTATCATTTCCCCACGAAGATCTTTTAGAGGTCTTGATACGTGTGATTCTATAAAGCATCCTTTGCCAATGCTGGGTATTGATTCTGGTGGTTCTATTGTCGCTATAAGAACTTCAGGAACCTTTCCTTTACTAAAAAAAAAAAAAAAAAAAAAAATGTCAATTAAGGGTGCTGAGCAGTTTTGTGCTAACTTTTAACTTTTAGGAAGCAGATAAAAACAATATCTCAAGAACCCAGTGAGTCAAACACACTCATAATAAGTTCTAACTGAGCGGAAAAATAGATAGGTATTTACAATAATTTCCTATAGTTTAAAATTCATCAATTATAGAAATTTTATAATTATTTGAATTTTACCCGAGCAGCAAAGATTGGTTCATATGGCGTCGAATTTGAATAGATTTACGCCGATCAACCAAGGTTCTATGTCAAGAAGAAAAGGAGTTGTGAAATATGACCTTTTTTTTGTGGGAGGGGATAGCTCTATAGTCTAAGGCTCTACTATCCTGACTGGTGAGGCTCTCACCGACTAAAACCACCTTCCACTTGACGGCGTTCATGTGTGTAAGTGTCCTTTTTCGTACCGCGTCGCCGCAGTGGATATTTATTTGACATCTGAAGGTTACTTCAAAAAAAAGTCAATCGCGACTTTTTTTTGAAAAAAGTCATAATATTTATATTTATTTATTTACTGGTAAATTTTACCAGAAAGTATTATTAACAATGTCAAAATTGAATATAAAAAGCAGAGAAATGAAATAAGTTTAAGAAAAATTTCATTCAGCTTGTTGAAGAAAACAAATAAAACTGAATGCAAGACTATTGCAGACGCACACACTATGAGCTGCGGAAATATTCAGATGAACAAAAAATATATCGGAAAGTTAATATATGAATTTTATCCAATTAGAGAGATTGTGAATAAGCCGCTTTTAATCCTGGTATACTGGGTGTGGAAAAAAAATAGTTTACTGGACTTCGAGGGGTGATACTACATATTAAAACTAAAAAAAAAGTTCCTATGCACATATGCCTTTATGCATTAAATTTTTTTTTCGTTTTGTGAGTAACTACCTACCCTCTACCCTTATGGAAACTACCCTTTCAGAACTGTTGCGGCTTTTTTTACTATCACCATTCGCTTTGGCATCGAAATGTATGTGAGAATACCAAATTTCAAGGAAAATAGTTTGCCACTGTTTTAAAAAATAAATAGAATCTATTATTTTTCATCTACCGTTTGAAGGGCTGTAACTTCTTCAGGAATGATCTTGGGGCATATGTTCAGGGTATGTTCCTTATAATTAATGCGGCTTCTACAACTAAACAAAACAAAAAAATAGAAAAAAAAGTTAAATACAAAAGTTGAAGGGGTTTTATCTATTATCTTTCATAAATGGAACACCCTGTATATTTTTGGCTAGAATGCTTTATTTTTTTCTTCTGATTCCAAATATACCATATGTTGATATTTGGTTCAGCTGTAATTGCGTTATTTAAGTTTAAAATTGCATCAAGTAACCCTCACCATTAATGTAGGGAATTGGGAACAGACCTAATTTACAGTAATGTAAATGCATCTTTAATCTTAAATAGCGTGTATATTTCGAATCAGAAGAAAACAGTCTATGGTTCTATGTAAAAATATACAGGGTGTTCCATTTAAAAAATGCAAGTGTTTGTCATTATGACAGTTGATACCTGTCACTTGCCCGTTTTGAAATCTGGAAAAGTAGTAGAGAAATGTAACGTCTTCTTTAGACTATATAAATAGAATTAAAAACGGAGATACACCGCTTAGAAAAAAAGTTAGAAGCTTTATTCTGAAAATCACAAAAAACCCTTACAGCTTTTGTATTTAACTTTTTTTTCTATTTTTCTTGTTTAAGTTGTAGAAGCCGCACTAATTATAAGGAACAGACCCTATACATAAAAACTTTTTTTTTATTTTCATTGTTGAACACCCTCGAAGTCTCTAGCTGGATATATTTTCACAAATCCGATAAATTTAAAAACCTTATAAGCCATCAATACCAAACTAGAATTAATGTTAACAAACATTTAGAAATAGCAATTGCTTCCACAACAAAGAAATTGAGAAAAATATTTTCTCTTGCACCTAAAATGTTAACTTATTACCACCACCACGCTTAGATCATTTTAATCCGAAAAGATTTTGTGTAGCATGCAGAGCCTACATATAAGTAAATCTAGAAACCAAACTGCTCGCCGAAAAAAACGGGACAAGCAATTTTTAGCACCATATTGAATTTGTTATAACTTTCTTTAATCATTTTTTTTTTGTTGAGGTATTCGGTATTCGAAAGCCCATGTTGTATATCTCGTGGGGAAAAAATAATTTTTTTGAAGGAATGCATTTCTCAAGTAATATACAGTGTGAATAATAGGCTGATGCTAAAGTACAAAGTTGGATGTCTGCCATATTGGTAATATTCCTTTTTTCGGATTTCCGTATAGGCGATTAGTAAGTTGATATCTATATCTCCAGACTTATTGCCATTTTTTTGATTAGTGCCTTTTGGCAGCAGATACACTACTAAACAACAAAGTTGCTGAAAACTTGTAAGCATGCATAATGTTTAAAGGGCTGTATTTTGAAAACGGTTGTATCGATTTCGAACAGCATTGCAGGTTTCGAAAGCTTATTTTTCTAGAGGTTCCATGACACTTTTACAGTGGGTGAAAACGTTTTATAATCCATTAAACCGTAAGCTATAACGTTTCAACAAAGTGGTGCTAAAATGGATCTTCAGGAGGCTCTTGCGCTGAAATGGATCTTCAGGAGGCTCTTATGCAAAAACGAAAAAATCTTTCTGGGATATTGACCCTAAATAACTTCCAAAGAAAACAAAAGGCAAACAGACCAATTTGAACTCTGCAAAAAAAGCAAGAGATTCGAATCGTGGAAACTCTAAAAAAAATAAGCTTTCGAAACCTGCAAAGCTGTTAGGAATCGATACAACTGTTTCCAAGCTACAGCCCCTTAAGAATTGTGCTTACAAGATTTTGCCAATTTTGTTGTTTAGTAGTGTACCTGCTGCCAAAGGGCACTTATCGAAAAACTGGCCAATACATACGGCTGGAGAAATTGATATTAACTTACTAATCACCTATACTGAAATCAGAAAAAAAAATATTGCCAATATGGCAGACATCCAAACTTTTTGTATTTTTGCATCAGTCTATTATTGATCCTGTATATAACTTGAAAAATGTATTCCTTCAAAAAAACATATTTTAAAAAAAGTTATTACAAACTGAATATGATGCTAAAAGTTGCTGGTCCCGTTTTTCTTTTGGCGAGCAGTCTATTAAGAACTTACTCAGTAGGTAATTTGATAAGATTATTAGTGACTTACATGTATTATATATGTTACGGTTAATATGCAAACTTGGATAGTTTGTAAACTATCCAGCTAGTTTACAAAAACTAGCTGGATAGTTTACAAACTATAACCAACCCACTGGCTATTTTGATAGAAAACACAATTTTCACTAAAATAGCAGCTAATTTGCAAACTAACCAAGAGTCTTAGCTAATTAACTTGCCATTATTGATAAAACTAAATTAGCTGGTTAGCTTATAAACTATCCAATGCCGCCTGGCTAATATGAAAACGATAATTTCTAGTAACACAAAATAGCCAAACCTTTGGCTAGTTTATGAACTAACAAACCAATTTTCTGGGTAATGTAAAAATTAACTTAGGTTACGTTTCGAATACGAAATTTTATTGTTGTTTGTTTGCTGTCCTGACTCCTGGCCGGGTTTGTTTTTATATTAGGACAGGAATAGCAACAGTTTGCATATTGGTAATAAAATGGATCACAAAGAAAAAATTAACGCATCTTCATTAGATCTCTATAATAAGAGAGCAAACAATTCCCAACTGTACAATGAAAGTAGCTTAAGTGCACAAAAATCTGATGAATATATTCTTCTACATAAAAAATCTGGCAAAATAAGCAGTTGTCTGAATAAGTGTAGCAAACGTTTTTACTCTACTTCCGTCTCTTTTTGCTGCATTAAAGCTAAATATTTTTATCTCATAAAACTTAAGCAAAAGCATTTGCTACTGTTTTATTCATATGAGCCATTAGCTTGCATGGACATTTACTTGACTATGAAAATATCTCAGTAAGTTGTACTTATTGGAAAATATTTTATTTTTTTAATAATAAAAAATTTAAAACAAAAATTTCCATTTTATTCATATCTAAATTATCAAATAAGGCCCAATGAGTTTATAAACTAGCCAAAGCTCTGGCTATTTTGCGTTACTAGATATTATGGATTCTTTATTAGCCAGGTTGTCTTGGATAGTTTATAAACTAACCAGCTATTTTAGTTTTCTCAATAATTTCAAGTTAATAAGCTAAGACTCTGGGTTAGTTTGCAAACTAGCTGCTATTTTAGTGGAAATTGCGTTTTTTATCAAAATAGCCAATGGGTTGATTAGTTTGTAAACCAGGGCCGGATCTAGGGGGGGCAAACAGGGGCGCGTGCCCCCCTTTGCAACTAAGGGGGCGGCAAAAAGAGAGGACACTATCTTATTTTTTTTTATAAAACATAAATATCTATGTGCACGCAGACAAATACGAACAAATAAATTCAAAAATATCACGCCTTAAATGAATCAAGAATCAATCAACATTCAATTCAGCACAGCTGTATTGAGCGCTACCAGCACACCCAGATGAAATTACTCGTCAAATATTGAGCGATTGAAGAAATTAAGTTTTTTAATTCAATCTTTGATATACCAATAAATTATTTTATGTACGACCCACACTGTGAGAGCTTATTAAGTAACTCATTTTAGCCTGTTTGAGTTACGTAATAAATTGTATTGTCGTACTTAGTGATGTAATATAAATCACTAGTGATATAATGAACTCATTACGTCACTAATTTTTATTGAAAATCGGTACTTTTTGAAATTCATTTATTCGTAAAAATTATAAATATAATCTATTGTGAAAAATTAAAACCATTTCGAATGCATAAAAAAAATCTAGGTCGTACATAAAATGTTGTATATCATACGTACGGTAACGCTCATTACACTACTCGGTCTACGACCTCGTCCTGGCAATATTCCCCACTCGTTACTGTAATGAAGCTCATACCGTACTAGTAATATAAATAACTATTATTTACAAGTGTTTGATTATGACCTTTTTACATAACCATTTTTCTAGTATTGGAGTTGTCATGAGACTCATAACACAACTAGTGGTGTTATGGACTAGGTTATGAATTCATAACACAACTAGTGGTGTCATCGACTAGGTTATGAATCTATAACACGACTAGTTTTTGTGTTTTGACAAATTGAAAAAAACATTTTCCTATTTTTCGCTTTGTAGATAAAACGTTGTACATCACTCGTGCGTTCAAACATGATCACAATAACGAGTGTGAATGATTAGAATTAATTAATTAATTAATTAATTAATTAAAATTAGAATCTAATCACACGAGTAATGTGTAAATAACTATTTTTGGAGGCGTAAAATTCATTTTTGGACGTAACACCCAAAAAAAAGACCGGGCTTCAACTACTAGGTCTTTCCTACTTTATGTGTGAACCCCTTCCAGTATAGACCACGAACCGCCACTACTACATAAATAGATTGTAAAATCTTCACACCTGATTTTTGAATAAATACATAAAAAATATTATTTAACAGGGGGCGGCAATTTACATCTTTGCCCCCCCCTCGAAAAAATCGTAGACTCGGCCCTGTTGTAAACTAACCAGCTAGTTTACAAACTATCCAAGTTTGCATATTAGCCGTAACGTACTATAATAATAATAAATATAATAATAATGTTTATTTATTCACTTATAAAAATTTACATGGGTTTCAAAATAATACATATTTTTTAATTGTTCAAAACGGCACCTAGATGACCTAACATCTGTATGTGCCGGTGAAAACGTATAAAAACTACTAGATAATTTCAAGCAAATGTTTACCAACTAGTGATACATGCCTCAAATGCTAATATACAATATTCAAAAAAATATTCTAAACAGTTCTAAATTTTCAACAATAAACATTCTACATTTTTTTCGAAATAGACTATTTTTTTCAATATAGTTACTTATGTTTGACTTGTCTCCTGATTTAAAAATTGGAGTCACAATTGAAATTTTAAATTGATCAGGAACTCTACCACTACTGAAAATCAAGTTAATTATATGTACTAAGGGTTTGGTTAAATATTCATGAGTTTTCTTTATAAGTTTAGCATCGATTTTGTCCATTCCAGGGGCACTGTCGTTTTTTATTTGACTTATATGTTTTATTATTTCGTTAGCATCGACAAGCTTCAGAAATAAAGAGTGCAAAATATCTGAGTTTATTTTTTGTTCGTTTACTGGTTTTTGTATTTTATTTGACATATTAATTCCAATTTCAATAAAATAGTTATTACAAAAATTTGCCATATTTTTTTCATTGGAGAATGATATGGCATTATTGTCCGTTATAGGTGGTATAGATTTGTTTTTATTTTGCTGTTTATTTCCGTTTGTCGCTTCAGATATTAAATTATAAACTTTTCTTAAGTTGTTTCCTGCGTTTCTGATTTCTTGTTGGTAATATTCATGCTTTCGTTTTTGGATTATTTTATGGAGATTATTTCTATAGATCTTATACATCCTGCTATTCATTTCATCAACATTCATCAGAAGTTTCTTTTTCATTTTGTCCCTTATCTTAATACTTGATATTATCCCGTTCGTTATCCAGGGTTTATGTTTGCCATGTTGTTTTATTATATGTACTTTTGTACTGGTACTTCTGTCAAGTATGTCAGTCATTATTTTGTAGAACTCATCAGTTGCCTCTGTTACATCATTCTTTTGTAATACATTATTCCAATTTTGTGACTTTAATATATTGGCAAAATCTTTTTCGTTGGTTCTAGTAATTTTTTTAGTCACAACCTTTCTTTCAGTTGTGCTGTCACTGTCTGACTGGTCTGACTGATTTATATGCAAATTCATCATAACAGGATAATGATCAGTTAAATCAGATTGTAGAATATATGATTGGCATTTTAGATTCTCAATATTTAGTTTATTCCTCACAAAAATATGATCCAAGCAAGAGCTTGTTTCCAAAGTTTCACGAGTTGGAGCGTTAATATAAGAGACGAAACCAAAATGATTTAGCAAAGAAAGGTACGAATTTACGGTATTATCATTTTTTTCGAGGATATTTATATTTATATCGCCCAGAAGGACATCGAACTGAGTTTGCAGTTTGTTATTTATTAAAAGTTGTTCCAAGTCTTCCAAAAAAAGTTGTTTGTTTGTATTGGGTGGTCTATATAGACACATAATATTAAACATTTTATTATTCTTTTGTATAATGACACTGCTTACTGTTACTTTTGATTTCTTAAGTACATAATGCTCAATGTTGTATATGAGTTTTGATTTTATAAATATTACTACACCATCATTCCTATTGTATTTAGCTTGGTTAAAAAACATTGAATAACCGTCAATATGATATTCATTATCATTACTTTCAAATGACTCTCCTAACACCATCATATCACAGAAATTTATCTTATATGTTTGAAGGAAAACCAAAAATTCATCAAAATTTCTATGAATGCTTCGGATATTTAAATGCAATAGGTACATTTAACAATTTTTTTTGTAACATAATCTTACCATTAATCGAATCACAACATATACTTTCCTGTTGAATTTCAGTAACTAAAGTCTCTAAATTTTGTAAAACCACGAGTTCTTGTTGTTCAGTAGCCATTTCCACAGCCATAGTCTATTTTTGATTTCACTATGTTCAACAGGTATTGATATGAGGGGCATTCAGTATCACTTGCTTTATGATCTACACTGTAGTTTAGTTTGTACTTGAGATTTGCCATAACACAATTTGCACACTTTTGAAGTTGCTTTGGACAGTTTTTTATATGATGTTCTTCTGAGCAATGTTCGCATATCTGTTTATTTGGACATTTTTCGGTTTTGTGGTAGTGCTGCTGGCATTTAAAGCACCTTGGTATACTCAGATCTTCATAAATCGGATACCGTTGCCATTCAATATATATTGTGTTTGTAAACATAATCTTTTTAAACAATGATGGTGAGCATTCACCAAATATCATGGATGCGGAATTTGGTTTTTTAGATTTTCTGATGTAGGATATTCTAAAAATTTCACTTTCTTCTAGAAAATTATTTTGTTCTCTAATGGATCTCGTTATTTGTAGTTCGTCAAGATCGCCGTTGTAACCTATTATTTTAAATCTTGGCAGCTTCATTGTTGTTATTTGAACATCATAGTCCTTCAATTTATTTGCTGCTTCATTTCGTAGAGTCTCAATATCCTTCCCATTTGTGCAATTTATAAGAAAGCTACCATTTTTCGTACTTCTAGTGCTTTTTATACATATCTTCAGATCCGATGGTTTTATTGTCTTTTTGATCTCTGATTCTGTCTTCTCTACTGTCTGTTGTTGTTTTGGTGTTATAATAATACTAGGAAGGTTGATTTTATCATTCTGAGGTATTCTTTGGCCCTTCTGTGTCTGGGTAAGTTGACTGTATGTGTATTGCTGTCCTATATTATCTATGCGAGTTTTTTCTAATTCTTCTATTTTATTCTTCAACAGGGTAATTATTTCCTCCTTGGCTTGAATTATATGCTGTTTATCTTCGATTGTTTTTTGTAACAGGGTATGGTGTTCAAATTTCTCACATTTTTCACAAATAAATTTTAGGACTCGACTCTCCTTAAGTTCCAAAACTTTTACCTCGGATGAAGTAAGGTTAGCACAATAAGGCTTGCAGTATTTTCCCTTGCACGTATCACAGCAAAAAATTGGGTTTCTGCTGCCGCCCGGAACGCTGCAAATATCACACTCCATTTTTCACGGCATGAAAATAATGCTTTGTACTAAGTTTTGTACAATTTTTTGTTCACGCGGCCTGGCTAGCAGGAATGTGTTTTTTTTTCCTACCGACCGGTTTATGTTCTATTTTTATTTCATTTTTGCAATTTTACAACTGAATTATGAAATTTTTCACATTTATTCCTACGGCATAATACACTACATACTAAACCGAACCGATTGCTACTAAATTTGTTCAATTTGGTCACTTGTAACTCAACGAATTTCAAGAAAAACGCGAGAGCGAAATCAGACGATGTTTATCAGACTTCGACGCTTTCAAGTAAATGATATATATATTTATTCTTTCTGAGTGGTATTTTTTGCTCTAGGGATAGTTTTTTTTTTATTGTTACCTCATCATACATATTAGTTATTACTATATCTGTTAAAATATATTTTAAATAACAAATAATATGTAATCTATTGATTGATAAATCAATACCTAAACGATATATCCGATTTAACAACAGTAGGACTTACAGACATATTGGGCATTTAGAGACTTTTGCTTTTACAGGAACAGTTTTTTCATCATATGGCAAGTGTGTAATACAACACGTATATACTAGAGGATTTCTATGCTCAGGGCTGTCGTGTGTGGTTCTTTGATGCCCATTCTGAAAATAATACCATATATATATGAAGAAACAATCAATAAGTCTACCTTATTTTATCATATTCTCTGACTTTAATAAAACATTGTCTGGTTGAGTACAAAAAAACATATTATATCTTACCGCAACTTTATGGATTAGTTGAACGTTAAAAACATTATCCTCGTCTCCAGCAGAACTATTGAAATCTATTACAGCTGCTGTGCCACATGCGCTCAAGACACAAACATCATCGCTAAAACAGAAAAGTGAATGTGCCATGTGCCATCAAACTATAATCTAAAAATTGCTATGTTTTTCTATATTATAGGGCAAGACATATTTGTCTACTTTATTATGATTAAAGTTTTAATAAAGTTGAGTTCACTTTTTGTATTAAAAAAGGGAGAAAGCTTAGAGCATAATGCTTTGAAATAGACATAAAAATGGAAAAAATATATGTACATAAAAAAGGGTGTCCTGAAATAAATGAAAAAAAATTGGTTGAAATAATTGTAACATTTAAAGTTACTTGTCCCTTTTTCTTTCAAATTTAACTTTATATAACCCTTTTTAATGTGACGGTTTGTTGACTGGCATTAAAAAATACGGGGTTCTTGCTATTTATTATATAGCAATTATTAAATTATCACCTAGAGGGCAGTGTAGTATTTGGAATGCTACAGACCTTATTCCTTTATTATATAATAATTTTTTAAATAATATTCTAGTTAATTTCATTTTGGGTGCTGACATTATGGCGACTGCAAAATTTTTATTTTTTATTTTGAATGTCAATTGATAGGTAGAAACCTTGAATCTGTGAATGAATAATGACGTTCGGTTGTTATCCGAGAGAGGGCGGCAGTGTCGAGTTTTCTGTCATTTTTCTTCATTGACAAGACTGTCCAGGGATAAGGGTTCATTTTTCTACAAGGGAGCAAGGTGAATTTTCATCTTTCTTTACCATTTGGTTCCTCGAACCTAATGGCTGGCAGCGATAGTTGGTTCCTTAAGAAAGATTTCCTTACCTAGTACCGTATTTTAACTGCCATTGGGCATTTCTTTCTCGAAATTAACTTGCTAAAAGGGATGTTCAGTCGATTACCGGAAGAATCATTTCAAAAAGTCTTGTGATTTTCTTGTAAATTCAGTGTTTATCTAACCCCACACAACGTGGTAGTTTTTAATCCATCCAAAAGCGATCTTTATTTAAGGGAATATTTCTATTATGTTAGGGTCTTCCGTGGAGTTGACTTTTCCTTTCCTTTGAAGATACAATTTGGCTGTTTTCGAGGCTGCTCTTTTGTTCCAAGAAGAAAATCTTCACGTGTGTCCATGTCGGACCACCCTGACAATCCTGCTACCTGCTACCTGCTAGTGCAAAGTGGTGCAACAGGCAAACCGCCATGGTTTTTTTTGAAAGGTGATTTGTCAAATGTACAGGCCTCCTCTCGATCAGTATCTGGAAGTATCTCGCTGAACAAATGAAGCGTGATGGGTAACATACCATTCCACTACACTTATTTTAAAATCACCCCGCCCCTATTTACCTATTTGAAATTATGATATATATGCATAATCTAAATATGGAAGACTAAAAAAAATTCCTATTTAAAATTTAATTTGATTGAAAAATTATTGTGCCTCATTCTTGACAATGAAGTGAGTGTATTCTATTTAATTATTACATTTTCAATATTTCATTTTTTTTTAACTTAAACTGACTCCTAATAATGCCATTAATTGTGAATGTTTCCCTGGGAACCCTGAAGTATGTGTAAGTTATCATGTAAAACGGTGGCCATAGAAAATTGATCAATTTTTACCGTTCTCATATAATCATTTCTTTTGCTCTCTACTGTAACATATTTTAGGTGTTTTTAGGATTCATAAATTCAATGATATTTGATTCCAGTTAAATATTTAGTTTGATAATCTGTTTTCGCTTAAAGTGTTGATAATTTTTTTAAGCCTAGGCTTTTATTGTAATTTTACAATTAATTATTCTGGCCGTTATTAACTAATAACGCATATTTACTGGAATATTGCTATTGGCTTGATATTTTCTTATTGAATAAATATTTTTTTTTATGTAGATTTGCTGCTTGATTAAAAATTTTATTTAGTTGTTTTTTTTTTTGGTATCACATAGGTTCCGAGTTGATAGAGTTATTTTGGTATGTTAATTTTTTTTTCAGGATTATCATCTAAAGAGCTTAATTACCTATCTTTGTTATTCAATTTTATTTTTAGAATGTACAATGTGTGTGTGTAATGTGTCGTAGGTGGCTTAATACAATAAATTTGTGCTCATAAAGCCTCACGCGAGAAAGTTTTGGGGTAGTTTTGATTTTCCTCTCTCTTCATGTTTTTTGAAGTGCTGAATCCGAATCTGACGTTTGCTTACAAAATTTCGTGACGCAACATCGAAAAAAATGCAAAACAAGTAAAAAAAAGTTAAATAGTCTATACGAAGTCACTTGGACTGGCATAAAAACTAAATCCCGGCATCAGTCGGCTTTTCCTTTGTCAAACATGAGCGGGGTAATTTTTAAAAAAGTGCTCTTAATTAATTTAATTTATTTAGCTACTCTTAATGCTGGTTCATTGTTTATTTATACCTATTAACTTTTTATTTTTTATCTTAATTCCGGATGTTCAGGGTAAGTATGGCGACAGAAAATTCTAGAAATTGATAATAATTTAGTACTAAGTACTTATCTTTTTTTGGGTCTAGGGTAAAATAATAAGCCATAGGTACGTTGATAATAGTTTATATTATACTGAATATTAAATATACCATATATACAGGATGTCATTGAAATGGTGTGAAAAAATAACATAACTAAAACAAGAGAAGAAACTTATAACTAAGGAGAATTTCATATATCTGTCAAAACTGACATACCAACAATAGACTGACATGTTTTAATTATTGATTTGCACCAATCAAATGGTACACAGTAACTGGTGTTTTGACATTTTTGGACAAAAAAATTAAGTTTTTGATTCATGAAATTCTCTCATAAAATACAACTCGTGCAATGGAAATATATTTTTAATTTTTGACAAATTTGCACCCATGCGTTTTCAAATGGAAAAGGCCCTCGGGCACTCCGTGCACTTGTGCTCTTTTTCAACTAAAAATGCATTCGGGCAAATTTCCCAAAAATTATCGATAATTACCATTGCACTCGTTATATTACTATGGAGAATTTCATAAATCTGTCAAAATACTGACACTCCAACAATAAATTGACATGTTTTGATTGTTGATTTGATGAAATTCGCTCATAAAATACAACTCGTGTAAAGAAAATATATTTTTAATTTTTGACAAATATTGTTAAAAATGCATTCGGGAAAATTCCCCAAAAATTATCGATAATTTCCATTGCACTCGTTATATTACTATTGAGAATTTCATACATCTGTCAAAACTGACATTCCAACAATAAACTGACATGTTTTGATTGTTGATTTGAACCAATCAGATTGGAATTACACGATAATTTGCACTAGTGCAAATACATGAAATTTTCTCATAAAATACAACTCGTGCAATAGAAATATATCTTTAATTTTCGACAAATTTGCACTTATGATTTTTTAACTGAAAAAGGCACTGGTGCACTCATGCTCTTTTTCAACAAAAATGCATTCGGGCAAATTTCCCAAACATTATCGATAATTTTCATTGCACTCGTTATACTACTATTGAAAATATTTCTACAATAATTTACGCTCCCCTATTCATCACTCTGATAAGAGTCTTCAGAACTTAATTCGTCATCGACATTCACATTAATAATTATCGGATTAAAGGGTGGTAAAATGCAATATTCATTCCTCATCCTTTTTTTTTTTACGTGGGATACGCAATTCTTCCATAAATTGGTTTCGTCGAGTTCCTTTACAATAGTCCTGATATTCTTTATCACAGTCTCATTCAATGACGGTGGCTGATTTTTTTTCCGTAATTGTTTTTTCAATGCAGCCCAGACCATCTCAATGGGGTTGAATACACAATAGTATGGAGGCAGGCGTAGAATGGTATGACCACGTGATTCAAAAAAGTTATCGATGACGTATAACTTTTTAAAATTTTGCTCCTTTATCATTTGCATCATACTATGTCTGCCTTTTTGGTGCTCGTATTCGGAATTTAAGTGTCGGGCTGCATTCGAGAATGATAAGCGTTATCCATAACTATGACAGAATTAGGCTTAATGTTTGAAAAAAGCTGTTAAAGCTGTTCTTCTGCCCATTTTTCAAATAGGTCTGCTGTCATGTCTTCGTGATAGTCAGCTAAACATTGCTTCATGTTTCGTGCTGATAACAATAAGCATTTGTCCAAAGCTGGGCAGGGCTTGAGTGCTTTGTGCTTGTAAAAGTGCTTGAAGCACTTTGAGGGCTTGAAAGCCCTGTGCTTCAAGCCCTTTTACATATTTGTAATTGGGGCTTGCAAAGTCAATTACTTCAGAAAAGTGCTTGGTAATTTGTAATTGAAAAAAAGTAATTCAAGCCCTTTCAATAAGCTTCAATTACTTTTAGAGGGCTTGAAGCACTTTTGGAAGCTTAAAGCACTTCCAAAGGGCTTGAAGCACTTTAAAAGGGCTTGAACCACTTTGAAAGGACTTGAAGCACTCTAAAAGGGCTTGAAGCACTCTAAAAGGGCTTGAAGCACGTTGAAATGGCTTGAAGCACTTTAAAAGGGCTTGAAGCACTCTAAAAGAAATTTGAATTGACCATCATTTAACCTATCCCTCACCTAAAAGTTTTGAATCGATGAGTTTTGTTGCTTAATTCTGATATCTATTCCGCGTCGGAATGCTTACCGCATACCACCGAGTTTTCTGATTGATATTTATCTAGAATCTAGATTTTCGTTTATCGATATTTCTATTCTCAATAGGTACGATATTTTAAAAATATCGATACTCGTCAAATGGCATTGATATTTTAAATTCATATTTCGATACTAGTATCGATATGCTAATTTTTTTGTGACGCCATCTGTTAACATCAAAGAAAATGACAAATAATACAATTTTAGTAATTTCCTGAAATTAGCCTGAGTTGTTGTGATGTGTAAGGATAAGACACCATGTAAAAAAAAAAATTACCCACACTTACAATTATTTTGGTTACCAATTCCATTCACAATTATTGTAACTGTAATTTGCAAAAAAATACAAAATATAAAGATTCTCTAGTCAAATGAACTGAGGAAATTGAAAGTAAGCTATTGTATTTTTATTGCTCACTAGCGTTGTTAGGAGTACTAAGATTTCAGGGCATATTCAAAGGGCTTGAAGCAAATTTAAAAAACTGCATGCACATTTAAAGAGCTTTAAACAAATTCAAAGAGCTTCAAGCACATTTAAAGAGCTTCAAGCACATTTAAAGAGCTTCAAGCACATTTAAAGAGCTTCAAGCACATTTAAAGAGCTTCAAGCACATTTAAAGAGCTTCAAGCACATTTAAAGAGCTTCAAAGCTCTTTTTGAGGCACCCCAAGCACTTTTGATGTGCTTCAAGCACTTTATAAATTACTTTGGGGGCTTTGTGCTTGCCAAGCACAAAGCACTTTGAGGGCTTTGTGCTTGTGAAGCACTTTTGAAAATAAAAAGGAATTTGTGCTTGAAATTGAAAGCATTTTGAGAAAGGGCTTAGGGCTTAGTGCTTCAAGCCCTTTCACTGAGGGCTTTGCCCAGCTCTGCGATTTGTCCAACCGTCCTCAGTTCCAGCATGCAAAATTATAATTCTCCGACCCCTAGAACATGAAACAGTTAAATTGTATTTTCTGCTGTGATCGACCCAGCCATATTGTAAGACATCATGGGTGTCAAACCACGTTTCATCCAAGTACACTTACACTATACCTCTCTTTGCTTTTCGATACTCCTCTATTTTATACAAGTAATATTGTCTCTGTTTTACAAGACGAGCAGATTCCATAATCACCATTCTTTTGTCCAATTTCTTGACATTTCTAGTAGCTAAAACCGCAATCTAATAAAACGTTCCTCAAGGTGTCCAAGGATTTATAATCATAATCTGGATATTCGCGTAGTTTCTCGCGAATCATTTCCAATGTTGGAACTTTGTTGTCTTTATAAAAATCATATACGATCTGACGAATATCCTCTTTTGTGCCCGCGTCGATTTTTTTAAGTTTTTTTCCAACTCGTTTGATAGAGTGGTCCACTACATCACCAGCTGTAATCACTCTAATAATCGTAGTTCGACTAAGTTTAGTCAGCTCACAAATTCTTTTTAAAATTTTATTCTGTGAAGAAGGACTTTTTTCATCTTTTAAACACGAGTGGATATTTAAAATAAGCCACTGTGTTTGAACGTGCAAGTCTTTATGTGCAAACTCTGGTTGTGTCGGCTCTAAGAAAATAAATTAACGGTTTCAATTTCAAATACGAACAAAAAATGAAAATATCTATTTACCACAATTATCCGTCTCATCATCCCTAGTGTCAAAAGGTCGCCAAAACGCCATCTTTATGTCCAATAATTAATTAAAAATTATACTACTAGAAAATATTCACTTTTAATACACACTTACTATAGGTTTAATACTCGCTATACGCATACAAGAGTTAATCAAAATCAAAAGGCACTACTAAAATTGATAATAAATTAATCGAACAAAGTAGACTTTTAATGCACTGCACTGTCTCTCACAACGGCAATCAAATCGCCCCACAGAGCGGAATGAGCAGAAACAATATGTTGGCCAATCAAAAACCGGCAATGGCCAATCAGATCTATCGAGTCCACGTTGACTGGCATCGAACGTGTACAAGGAGCCAATTAGATCTATCCATTCCTACTTGTCTAGCTTCCAACAGTTACATGGAGCAATCAGTATAAATTTTGCTATATTTTTCAATATGAGATGCAGTATATTGACCATACCATTATTTAGGCCTGGTCCAAGTAACTTTGTATAGACTTCAGTTGAGACAGTCCTTGGACGACATCGTTGAGATAGACGAAGAAGGGGCCGAAGAAAGAGATTAAAAACTGTCTGAAGAAGAAGAACGCTCACACGATGTGGTAGGTATATTTAATCGCAAACAAGTTTGTTTTTCAAAATTTCTCTCAATCTCCGATGTTTATGGAAGAACCCGATGCTCTGTTAGGACCTTGCGCCATCGAGCAGCCTCAGCTAGGACCTTCTAAGAGAAAACGGCCCAAATAATATAATTTAATAATAAAGTGATGAAGATAATAAATTAGAGTTTTGCAGATAAAAAGTGAGTTTTTGTGGAAATAGATAAACCAGGCCACTTTTAAAAGGTAAATTCGAGGGTAAATTTGATCTACTTTCATTTTGAATAAAGGTGTTTTTTTCCGAAAAGTTAATGGTTTTCAAGTTATAAGCAAAAGACTGCAAAAACTACACTTTTTGTTTTTTTTGCATTTTTCAATGTTGCGTCAGGAAATTTCGTTAGCAGGAGCGCACCCATCTTAAAGAAGCTATGTGTTTTAGAGATACCATTTTGATAACATTTCTCACAGGCAACACGGTTAACTGAACATTTATTACGTCTTTGCTTTCTACTTCTTGCACCTGTGATAAATAAATAGGCCATTCAATAGAAATGTGTTTTCTTCATTTTGGGAACGGACAGGTAATATTGTAGCCTCACGAGCCTGTTTTTCCAACGTAACCTCAAGCCATTTAATTTTCTCTTTGGTTGTTATATTTCTCTTTTAACAGGCCAGTGACTGACGATGCCTATAATATTTTCACAGTTGACTTTTGCACTGACTGGAGCATTTTCTGTTGCGACGTGTTCGAGGACAATCCAAACTGTTGGTCGATTGGATACTGCGCCATCTGCTGGAGAACTTGTAGGTTCAGATGGATGATAGTGGTGGTACATCACCGCAGGAGCCAGAGAATGGAGAGATAGGGATTTGTTTACCTTGGATTCCTTTGTCTTCGGTTTTTTAGTATTTCTCAAGACACTTGCTTTCTCTCTCCACACTGTATTTCTTTACTGTAGGATTTGATTTTTACCTCCAAATCAGTTATAATCCAATCAATATATGCTATTTCGCCACATTCCTGTTTATCCTGGCTTTTCCCATTGCTGCATTATTGACAGTGTAATGTTGTGTAAAGTGATGAACACAAGCCAATTTTTAGATCCCTGATTATCGCAAACATTATGAATAAAGGCATTTTTTGCCGGAAAAATGTTTGAAACATTTTTCTGGCGTTTCCACAAGTTTTTCACAGTGGAATCCTACTACTTTTATCGATTTGTCACTGCCAAGCCGCTCAGTCAGCGCACTCCTTTGAATACTTTTTGTAAATATTTTTAAATAAAGATTATTATCATTACATTTTATAAAATTCTGAAACATTTCAATTTGAAGCATAATACTTATAGTCCAGGAGGCAGTCAAATTTTTTAGCAATTATTTTCCCAGTTGGTGTCTATTAAATAGTTTGTTCTCCTGGTGATACAAAACAAGAATTTTTGAGTCTGGCTAAAATTTTCGGATGGGTTCACAAGATTAATGAAAAATACAAATGTGAATAGAACATAAAGTATATGAAAATAGCAATTTGGCTTATCTCAGATAGTGACAGTGAGTCTGGCTGAAAATTTTCGGATCTTCAATTTTTCATTTGCCAGACTTATTATCCATACTCACAGATTAGCCGGATTATTTTTTTACGTAACTTCAGTATACTTCTCATTAGTAGACCTGTTTTTATCACTAAGAAAATAAGGGCCGTGCATTCCTAAGCTTTAACGCATTTTGCGCCTCAACCCATCGGAAAACCCCCCCTAAAAATATATGTATTTTGCTTAAAATTACTAACCCTACAATTCTATCCATGTTGTCTGACTGGGAAAATAAGTGCCGAAAATCGTCATTGCCTCCTAGACTATTATCAATATTTACAATTTGCTAATGAAGGTATATTTGCATAATATGCATCCCTGCGTGTAGGTGATATGCTTACCATATACTGGTTAATTCCGTATACCCCAGCACAGCATTACAATTAAGACTCCTCGCATGTGATCGAATTTCCATTCGTATTTCGGACCACCAGGTATCCCTTGATTCTGGTTCCTCAACATTTAGGATTCGTTCCATTAATTTAACAGATCTAGCGCTTATTGAGCCTCCTGAAAATGAATAAATTATGAATTGGTTGTTTATGATGTTTAATAAATAAACCTTACCAATTTGTATAATAAATCTTGGAGGAAACTTGGTCATGGTTAAAAATGGATACTCTAACATATCAAGATGCTCTTGGTTCATTTGTCCCCTCTTCGAGTAATTATTTCTCATAAAATAGGCAGCAGTCTTAGCTGCCGATTTGTCGCTTCCTGTCAGGCTGTTTCCTATAGAAATAAATTATAATTATGCTATTTATCTACGAAATTCCGAAGATATTAGCGACATTTATTGAAAAAACAGAGTGCTTGAAATTATTTCTCCAATCAATCATACATTTCCATATAACTGTGGGTATTTACGAAAAAAAAATCAGCTAACAGAATAAACTACACTTTAAAGCGTAGTTCATAGAGATGCGAATCTCGAATAATTGCGAATTTCATTGTGGAAAAATCGTTTTCTATACAATTTTAAACCCTTTCAAACAGAAACAGATTTCGCAATAATTCTACGAATATTCACTTGACACTACTATATTGTCACAAGCCTGTTTCACAGGGGTGACATGGGTTTGTAGGTCTGAGGGTTTTTAGGAATGATGCAGAGAAACTCGCTCAAGTAGTATAAAAGTAGATGTATATAAAAGACACTGTTTATCAGAATGGAATAAATTCGATAATAAATAATTGGGGGCCTGTTCGAAAATACGCTCGGACACGTTGACTTTGTTTTTCGGCTCAAGATTTTTCACACCAATTTTTTGATACAGGGTGTTCGAAGAACAGCTATACCGTTATCAACTTTATTTTTTTAAATGGTACCCCCTCTATATTATGACATCTCTGGATTCTGCGGAAAATTCTAGACATATTTCGTGTACAATCACCAAAAATTAATTTAAATTCACCAAAATGTTGCACCTCCGCAGATGCTGTGATTACGATTCACTAATGCCAATGCCAAACCACAGCTTGCCAAACCCTGTTTAATTTAACAATACTGCTTTTTCTACCATTCCACTACGGTGCCACACCAGCTGAATTAAGCCACACGCGGCTCGTCCTATACTTACCTGCAACTGTTTCTGAAATATTGTCAGTTGAAAATGGACTTTTTTGCATCTTTGAGAGACTGCAAAACCTAAACGGTTGATTCTACAGCAAAACCGATCATACATTCTTATCATGGGTTTTCATAGACTATCATCAACTTTGAATTTAATCCATATTCAACATTTCCGGTTAAATTTAACCTCCGGTTGAATTCAAAGTTGGTGTCAAATGATAGCTCATAAAAGCTACAGACGCGTGGATGTAAAATCGGTTTTGCTGTAAAATTAACCGTTTAGGATTTACAGCCTGTCAAAGTTGCAAAAAAGCCAATTTTCAACTGTCAGTATTTCCGGAACAGTTGAAGACAGGTATATGACAAAATACATGATATATGTCTAGAATTTTCCGCAGAATGTAGAAATGTCATAATCTACAGGGGGTGGGATTTATAAAAATAAAGTTGATGACCGTACAGCTGTTCTTGTATATAAAAATTGGTGTGGAAAAATCTTAGGCAAAAAAACAAAATCGACGTGTCTGAGCGTTTTTTTTTTTTTTAAAGTTCCTCATTTATTTCATCGAATATATTCGTTTCTTGCTGATCTCATCATAATTAACCAGGCTAAGTCCTGTGTTTTGTCGATTTGCAATAAACTCATTATTGAATTGCTCAAATTGCTGTACAGTATGTTATTTTCGTAAGTAGACTCCTGTGCTGAAAATAGTTACATGTTTTCTTTGGATATAGCCTTGAATAATTGTTTTCGCTGTTTTTTACGTGTGTGCAAGTTGCAATTCGCAAGAAAATATTATATTAGGAATGAAGAGCTTAATTAATTATTTCTTTAGCTTAGTACACGCCAACGCTGCATATTTATTTTTGAAAAAGCGGAGTAATAGATGAAGCCGAGGAACTATTCGGACGATTCGTACCTATGAAATTAGGCATCTACAGAAAACAGCAAGGAGCATATTATAATTTAGTACAAGAAATGAGACTTAGAAAGTTTCCAAACTACCATAGAAAATATTACAATAAAGAAAACACACGGTAAAGTTTAACAAACTTCAAAGCAACAGAAAAAAATCCTATTTGGAATGGTGAAAGCCGAATGAAAACAAAACAACCGAAGAAGCAGAGGACAAAAGCATTTTTGGAACACGCATGCACGGGCATGAAATTATTTTCAATTTTCCCGCTCTATTGATTTAAAATTTTGCGAATTCGCAAAAAAATTATATCTGACAGATGTCACTCTTCTTGACAGTGGACTGACCAATAAAGTGGTCTCAACAATCAATCGATCAATCAGAAAAGTACCTACTTTATTGTCCAAGAAGTATTATAGCTACAATGAATCTTATTGACAAAGTATAATATAGTGAAAGAACATAATACAATAACACTAACTACGCTTAAAAAGCAACCAAATTATTAAAATTAACATAATCAACATAACCCACTGAGTCAATTAATAGTGAAAGAGACCTTGCGAGAAAATAAAAGCATCAAAAAAAAAAGTGCACCGACACTGTAACAGTGACTTAACAACTATAATAATCTAGAACAATACGAGACATGAACAGTCAAAGGCATCCCGCTTAAAGAACTCATCGATGCTGTAATAGGCGTTCTCAATCAAGAAACTCTTTAGGACGCGCCGAAAGGCCCTAGGGGAGTGTATGCATCTGGTCTGCGGATCAACATGGTTATAAATTTTGACACCATTGAAGATGAGCGAACTCTTTATCAGTGTAGGGGGAGGTATTGGTAACGGAATAGCATTCAGCTGACGAGTTCGATTCGCCTGCCAGTTACGGAGACAGTTATATTCACTTCCATTCTCCAAAATGAATAAAGAAGGCAACGTGAGTATATTGTTCCTCATAAAAAGGGGCCGGCAATGAGTCCTTGGATGTGAGTTTAAGGTGGCGCACAGCTCTTTTCTGCAACACGAAATGGGATTGAAATTGGTGCGGGGAGCATGTTCCCCTAAATGTTAAGGTATACCTGAGGTGTGACTCGAGGGAAAAATACACGTTACGGGCAACCTCTCCAAAGGTCGCGAAAGGTGGCACGGGCACGCACGTAGAACAGCCTGATGAAAGTTTCTTATTGAGTTTGGCAATATGGGGTTCGAATTAAAGATGCTCATCGGTAGTCAGTCCCAGAAATTTAGAATTGGCTGTGGGAGAGACAATGCTATGGGCAAGGCTATCAAGTTTATAATTAAAACCAATAAAATGAGTCTTGAACATGTTTAAACAGAGAAGATTTGAATCACACCATTCCCTGACCCTAGCCAAATTAAACACAATACCTCTTAGCAGCAGGTTCGAGTCTTTGTTACTCCAAAAAATAGTCCCATCATCCGCAAACAACGTGAAGATTCTAGAAATATTTAGATCGGTTAGATCGTTGATGTACGTTAAAAAGAGAATAGGCCCAAGCACAGAGCCCTGAGAAATTCCTCGCGAAATAAGTGGGTGGCAAGACAACTGACCGCCCGAACTGACGCAGTGTTCACGGTCACGCAAATAACTTTCAAACCAATTAAGGGCACTACCATGTATTCCATACCCGCGAAGCTTCCACAGCAGCAAAGGCTTTCGACAAGTCACAGAACACAGCCGCGGAAGCCTCGCGTTCATTAATGGAACGATAGATGTTTGATAGAAATTTGAGCATAGCGTCAGGTGTGCTTCTGTGAGACTGAAAGCCGAACTGACACTCTGATATAATATTATTTCCGTTGAGATTGTCAACGAAACGATACTTCACAAGAGATTCAACCAACTTCGAGAGAGTAGACAACAAAGAGATGGGCATATAGTTCGATGGAGAAGACTGATCATCACCTTGAAGGATGGAGAGAAAGTACGTGAAATAAAGAAGGTGTTAATAACATCAACTAGGACCATAATAGCGATGTCTCGTAGAGCCTCTAGTATTTTTACAGAAACGCCATTGTCCGTAGCAGCTTTTTTGCCACTCTCTTCAAAGCGACAAGACGCTTGTCAATATTGCGTTGTAAAAACAAATGTCATATCGATGGTAGTGAAAAAATACACACCAAATTCATTTTGCGATAGTGTTTATCATGATTTGACGTTCTTGATTGCCGTTTCAGAGATATGGATCTTAGCTTGGAAAAAGATACAGCTTTTTTGCTTCTCGTAGAATTGATGGTACATAGTTCGAGTTTCATAGGGAGATGTTGGAAAAAAGGCATAAATAGATTGTGATAATATGTTCTCACTAGAAAGATATGTGAGGGGATGGAAGAATGTAGATTTTCTGTCAGATTGGCGACCGAACAATAGTATTCGAATAAGATTATCAACGCTAACGTTTGGGATGGGGGTTTATTTGCTCTATTGGGAATTTCGAACGGTTGACCAAGACTCTCGTTGCTTGTTATTCGAGTTCAAAAGGCGCCCCGCGTAGTACACTCCTTTCGCTCCCCCAATGATAGTGCTACATATTTTCCAATAGGTCGAGTAATATATTATTGTTGGATCGTGAGGCTCTCAGGAAAGGCCCTCCTGCTTTTTTTTTTTTTCGGATAGTGTAAGTCTTCCACCGACAACATCATTATCCAAAACTCGAACAGAAGTGCTTTGACATTCAAGAAACCTTCGGCAAGAAGATATAATTTTCAAATAGGTGATTTTAATTTGTGTAGCTAAGGTGAAAAATCAAATTCGTGCATTTCTCAATTGAGAATATCTTGTTTAGCCTGTGAGATTTCAAAATCCCGGAAGAGACCAAGTCCAAGCAAAGCACAAGACTGTCAGCAGCCCCGAAGTCCATAGTCAAGTGAAAGATCCTGCTTGCTATCTGCGCAACACAGTATCCAGGGCGAATTTCTCCATGAAAGGAAAAGGGGCACGAGTAAGGTTGTGCAAATTTGAGTTCCGCGCGAACTCTGGTCTCCAAAAACCAAAACTCTTTCTTCCATCTATATGAACTACACTTGCTAGTTCTACTTCAATAATAATTGTATTCATTTTTGAGCTTACCAGTAACCACCCCCATAATTTCAACTTAAATAGTTTTTTCCAGACAATGAAATTTAATATAAATAAAATAGGCACCTACTTGGATTTTGAGCCAAATTGACCAATAAAATAGCTTTTGCTATGTCAGTATGCTCGGGTGTGACTGATTGTTTATGATATAAAATCTGTCTGCGGTTTTTCGCGATGATGATGGAAATTTTATGTTGCAGTTGTCAGTTTTTTTAAGGCAGAGCCAATACCTAGGTACTGTAAAATACTCTCAGATCCCCAATACCCCAACACTTATTGATATTCCCCACACCACTAAAAATTATGCATCCGTGCAATTAATTTTATATCATAAAATTATTGAGCACTAATATTTATAATAAAATTGACGATTAAGCTGTAGTGTATCAATAGTAGATTATATCTATCAACAAAAACAAACATACTTTGAACTTTATTGTGCTAAATTCTAAGTCCAGATGGTTTTAAAAGCCATTTTTAGCTTGGTAGGGTAGAGAAGTTGTCGATGTTAGTGTATGACTTGAACATAACATAGGTAAAGGGAATTTATTGTTTTTACGCTTCTGTCCTCGAAGTAAACATACCTACGAGAAAAATTAAACAAATATACCACTTTAATGAAAAATATTTTGGTTTTTCGGTATTTGACACATGAATGTCAACTGTTAAATCGTAATGCTCTCCATTTTTCATTCATCAGAACCAATGGCGTGATTTGACGTAAAACGCATAAATCAATGATGAGAACATGGTTGAATTTAAAAACTTGCCCATACAATCTTGTTCCTCACCGATCAGATGGAGAATCCCTCTGAACGGCGCTCTATACGTAGGTGGATTCCTCTTATAGCAGTTCAGTGCTTGATGGTTGGACCCCTCGACTATATTCATCGAGGACGTATTACAATGTTCCTCCTCAAATCTTTCCAAATTTGCCAAATGTAGGGGTGGTTACAGTAAAAATTAATATCATATATACAGAAGGTCATAAAATGTGCTCCCTACACCATCCATGTTGCCTAACCGAAAATTAAAATTGCCACTATCTTCAAAGCGACAAGACCCTTGTCAATATTGCGTAGTCAAAACATTGTCATATCGATGGTGTTGAAAAAAAACACACCAAATTCATTTTGCGATAGTGTTTATTTTACATTGACATTTTTGATTGCCGTTTCAGAGATATGCATCCTACCTTGGAAAAAGATACAGATCCGTATCAACTTCCAAATCTTCGAAATTTGGTACCGGTAAAGACAAGTACTAGTATCAGTCGGGGTATCAGTTGACAGCATTTACATTTTACTGCTCATAAATGTAACACCTTCTAGAGGACAGAAAAAATGTATATTCTTCTCGTTACGAAAGGGAGGACTTTTTGTGACCACAAAAATAGTGTAGGAAAGGGATAATTCAGTGGCGGCTGGTGCACAAAGAGACCAAACAAGCCAGATTTTTTTTTAAAATAATCTTACAATTATTAATCATAAATGTTTCTTCCAATAACCAACTTATATATTTACTTGTTTAATTCTATTTTACAATCGCCCCGTTCGTTATTCTTGCGGTGTTTGATATACTGTATAGACTGAGCAAGTAGCCACGTATTGTCATGTTTGGGGCAAGGCTGCTGCGGTGAGTATCCTCGCCAGGCAACGTGCTTATAGCTGCGGGGGAGCGAAAATTATTGAACTTTACATATCTACATATCTGGAGGAGGAATCTCAAACATAATAATTATAAGAACCATGAAAAGTGATAACCCGTAAAATGGGCAGAAAAAGATGCATCTTACAGAAATGAAAAACTAAATTACCTTTGCTTTGTTTTGAAAGCACACAAACTAAATCTGAACTGTTCACCCACCAAGTACCATGTTTCATGTCTGCTGCAAGAACCGATATGAAGTTTGAATTGATATTCGTGAACAAAACAACCACTGCCCGACTTCTATTGTCAGATCGCAACAAAGTCACACTGACCACTAAAGTGATGTCTCCCTTTTTCAAACCATATACAATGTGTCCAAGATAAGAAGGGCCAGTATGGAGATCTCGGAAAGAGTGGAAGATACGACGTTGCTCAAATTAGGAAAAAGTTGGGCAATTTTGTGCTCATCGAGATAATACTATGACATTTTGAGAATTCCGAGTGATACCGTAGATATCCAAGAAAACCCAAAATCCGCCAAAAACGATTTTATTTTTTCCTGACCTTATTTGAAGAGATATTTCAAAATAAATGGCACTTCATCATTGCCACTTTTCCTCCTCTACAATGTGACATTATCAAATTTGTAATCCGACGTTTTGTCTTTGGGCCACCATATCATCAGATCCCCATACTGGCCTTCCTTATCTTGGACACATTGTATATATTCGAGAAAAGCTAGGCTGGCCCGCAACCAGTAGGATGTCTTTTCAAGAGTCACTGTCTGACATGATCCCTAAGGTTTCAGTTAAAGTATATACGAAGTCAATCCGAACAGCTAAATAAAAAAGTATTTTACCGGGTCTGCTTAATTTACCAATATTCCCAATCAAAATTACCCAATTCTATGACAAGACCCCGTAGAACGCTTCCAGTCGGTCAAATAATATTTGGGTACACACAAATAAAATAATGTCTAAAAATGTCTGGTGCACTGTAGACACGTGCGTTTGTATTGTCTGATAAAATATGAATGCGTTGACTTGCTAATTGGAATAGAAGGAATTAGAATAAGTTTGTTCGCCGCTCTTAGGAAATTTAGCGAGTGTCTTGAGAGTGGGCCCGAGTGTCGCGTTTTTTAAAATTGTTTTGTTTTTCGAGATAAATTCAGAGAAGTTTGGGCCACGTCGACGCTCAAAATAGACAAAGTTGGCAACTATGCCGTCGTTTCCGATCTCGCCCAAAAGGCGTGCACAGCTGATTCATATTATTCCATCGCACAAATAATAGCGCTCAATGAGCTGGCAACAGTGTGGCTAGCCGATGTGTCTTTTTTACAGACAAATGAAATGATGCATGAATCACATGCATAGTATAGCCAGCAGTATTTTTTTTGGGGCAGAGCTTTATGCTCAATGCGTATGTAATAGGTATAATGCTCGGTGAGTAGTCATTTGAGAAAGTCTATAAAAATTCCACAACCTACGAAAAGAAAACCTCTTGACATACTTGAACATCAAAAGAGATATTAATACTTAAATAATAAAATAAAGAAATATTAAACATTTGCTGAAGACGCTTTTTCACCATCATGCTCTTTGTTTCTTGAGTGCCTCTAGAAAAAAAGTCACGAGCCGCCACTGGGTATATTTTATTTTCAGCCTTCCAAGGAATTTCTAAAACACACCCTGGCTTGGACAACATCAAGATGCATTGATAGATAACAAATCATGCAATATCTCCTAGGAAATCTAAGGAGAAGACTAGAAAGTATGTGAAGAATTTTCGCAGCTTGAATATATTATACGGCGGATAAGCACTCTTCTTATAGGACATAGAAAAATAGAAAAATACATGCAAACCTTGGACCTAACATGTCTGCCAAAGATTATGTTTTGGTAGGTCAGCATGTAGGTCCTTAAAGGGGACTTGCAGGTGGAAGCAACTTTGGGGATATTATAAAAATATTTTTGAGTTGTGATCTCTGAGCTCAGATCTAGTTCCAAGGTTAATCTTTACGGGCCCAGATACACTTTGTTATAAATGAAAAATGTTTGTAGAATTCAAATATAAACAGAAAAATTTGAAAGAAGAATTTTTTGTTGGAGTATGATGAACACAGAGAATTAAAAAAACAAGCTTTTACTCACTTGTTCTAACAAATCCAAACAATCCTATGGTTGGAATTAAAAAATAATGCATTTCAAGAACCCAAAAATTTAGGAAAACTAAATTAAGTACCAAAATGCCACTTACCTTTTGGAGTAATACTTAGATCAGAATCTGACGATCTTCTATGCAATGGCAGCATATAATTAACTTTTACTGGTGAGTGGGACAACCTGCCTAGACGGTCTGGACTGTGCTCCTCATTCTTGTCACTGTCATTCAAGTCTTCTCTTTCTTGAGCAGGTGAGGAATGGTGAGATGTTAAGCATGCAGATTTAGTTTTGCTGTGAGTGAGAAAGTCACCTGAAGCTGAGTCTTTAGGGCTAGGTGTCTTAGGTAGGGCAAGAAAGTTTTTATTTTCAGATAAATTGTTAAAAGAAGAATCATGGCATTCAGGAGGGTGAGTAACTGATGAGGTATTCAGGAGGTCACTGGAAGTTTGAGTTGATTCGTCTTTTGAAGGTTTATGAAACATGCGTGATAATATATTCTCTTTGGCTGTGCTAGATTTCTGAGGCTCTTTCGGGACATACTTCCCAATATTATCTGCAATGTTTTTCTTGCTGCAAATTCCAAGTTTTTGAAAAATATTCGTACCATTCGCATCAGTTTCAGGCGAGGGTTTGGGTAGACGGAACTTAAACCGTTTTTTTCTAGCGCCAGTTTTATCCTTCAAAATATCTATAAAAGGTTGGTGCAAATAACTATCTGATAGAAAATTATTACGTTGTTCTTGAATGCTGCTTTCATAGTCTGTTGATAAAGAAGACAATGATGTGAAAGGCATTCCCAACACACTTTCATGTTGTATTGTATGTTTTTCAAAGGAAATTCCACTAGGAGATTTTGGAATCATTTCTCTATTATTTATATCAGCAAACGTAAATGTGTTATTCTGTGCAGCATTATTAGCCAAAACAGGAGAAGTTGGTGGCGTATAAGAACCTAAAAGATTAAATTTTTCTAGGAGCATTGTTTGCATTGCTGCTTTAACCATTTTCTTTGGCTTAATGTTAATGTTTTCCAAGCTCACTGGCGCAATTAATTTCAAAATATCAGTTTGAATATGAGGTTCATCCTCGAGTTTATCATGATAATTATCAATACCTGAATTTTCCAGAGAATCTGCTATTCCACAGCCTGCCACAGCTTGAAAAGACATCGTTCCAACTTTGCCTTTCGATCTTGTTGCTTCGTGATAAAATGGTTCTGAGTATTCTTCATTCGAAAGACATGAGGAATCTGAAGTATTCAACAAATTAGCCCTTTCTATAAGCATGGTTTCAAGAGCTGTTTTAACAATGCCTTTTGGCTCAAGAATATCAATATTACTGTCCTTAGATTTATGTGATTCTAGTCTTAAAGTCCCTGATAAATCAGTTTCTAGCGCTGCTTTTGAAGTTTGAATATGAGGTTCATCCTCGAGTTTATCATGATAATTATCAATACCTGAATGTTCCAGAGAATCTGCTGCTCCACAGCCTGCCACAGCTTGAAAAGACATCGTTCCTACTTTGCCTTTCGATCTTGTTGCTTCATGATTAAATGGTTCTGAGTATTCTTTATTCGAAAGACATGGGGAATCTGAGGTATTTAATAAATTAGCCCTTTCTATAAGCATGGTTTCAAGAGCTGTTTTAACAATGCCTTTTGGCTCAAGAATATCAATATTACTGTCTTTTGACTCATGTGATTCTAGTCTTAAAGTCCCTGATAAATCAGTTTCTAGCGCTGCTTTTGAAGTTTGAATATGAGGTTCATCCTCGAGTTTATCACGATAATTATCAATTCCTGAATATTCCAGAGAATCTGCTGCTCCACAGCCTGCCACAGCTTGAAAAGACATCGCTCCAACTTTGCCTTTCGATCTTGTTGCTTCATGATTAAATGGTTCTGTGTATTCTTTATTCGAAAGACATGAGGAATCTGAAGTATTCAATAAATTAGCCCTTTCTATAAGCATGGTTTCAAGAGCTGTTTTAACAATGCCTTTTGGCTCAAGAATATCAATATTACTGTCTTTAGATTCATGTGATTCTAGTCTTAAAGTCCCTGATAAATCAGTTTTTAGCGCTGCTTTTGAAGTAACTAATAAATCAGCTCTTTCCATGAGCATTGTTTCTAAGGCGATTTTCGCAATTCCTCTTGGCTCAAGATCATGTGCATGGCTTTCTACAAGTTTTTCTTGAATCAGGCTAGGTGGATCAGGGGTGCTTACTGAACCCACTCTCTGGATAACCATCATTTGCGGGGAAGTGTTTACTTTCCCTAGTTTTAGTTCATGTTGAATGTTTTCTATTTTTGAAACTGGATATTTTTCTTGAATTGGATCTGTAGTGTAGTTTCTTTCTAGCGCTGGATAGCTGGCGTTAGTGAATTCTTCATCAAATAAACATATATTTTCTCGTACCTCTGACAACATGGGGTCTTCAGCTATGGCATTTGGTTCAGCTTCAAATCCAAATTGTGAATCGATTTCATAAAACTCTTGCAATTTGTGAGCCTTATTTTGTGCAAAGTCTGAATAACTCCGTCCACGTGTGATCAAATCGCTGTTAGACAAACACATTTCTGATAAATTACTGATACTGCTTCTACCACTTACTTCACTCTCAAATTGACTGAAATTATCTAGACTACTTAGAGAAAATCCTTTGGTGGGAATTGAAGGTAATGAGTATTGCTTATGAAGCCCGTCCCTGGATAAACACCTCTGCAATTTCTCTACATTATCAATGATATTACTCAAAGTTTCAACATCATTATTTGACTTACTGTAATCTATATAGTCATATTCTGAGCCACTACTACTAGAATCTGTGCTAGTTATCGATAGGATATCACTATTAGCCATATCAGATTCACTTTGAGTTAATAAATTTGATATTGATTCTAATTTTTCTATGGTGGCTTGTTTATTTGAAGAATGTGGCTGATCTTCTAAAATGCAACTTAAACTTGTGGTTGCTCTCATAACTGACCTTGCTAATATTTCCGCCATTGCACTAGAATCACTGGAAGTTCTTTTGAAAAGTTTTCTCTTTTCCACAACAGCACTTTGCTCATCTGATTCTTCACCAATGCTATCATTGAGTTTTGCTTTTAAAGCAATCATTTTCTTTGATAAACATTTTTGGGAGTGCTTAAATTTCTGAAATCTTCTGGACAATGCAGACTTGCCTCGTTTGTCTTCTTGACGTAGTAAAATTTTTATGCCACTTGACTGATCGTTTAAATCAGGATTTGAGCATGAAGGAGCTATGTGGTGAGAATCCAAAGATACATAATGACGTTTGGTTAATTTGGGCAATCTCAACGTATCAGGACATGCTAGGGACGAGGCTAGGGGGTTGAATAGGGAACGGGGAAAATGAAACTTATGAGGGGGTGATGTTGAGCACAAGCTAAAGCTCTTCCCATCACCAACAAACTTAAGGTATGTTTCTATATCCCTACATTTGAAAATTAATAAAAATTAAAAATTGTTAACGTAAAAACGATATCAATAAAAAATATATCAAGTAGTTGTTATAAGCTAGAAAGAATTCTAAAAGTAGCTTAGTTACATTCTACTAAGTATTTAGATGAGTGAGAATAATTTCAGATATATCTTCTAAGCTTGCCACCTCTTATTTTTTCTCACTAGAACAAATATGTATAGATAAAAACACACTTACTCATCCTTGGCTTCAACAGGCGCATGATGAGCGTTAAAGGTGGCTTTTACCAAAGTAACGGCTGTCCCTATTCCCCTAGCCACTATTCCTGATTCTCCTTCAAGATCGAAACATTGCTTATATCCTATTACGGCATTTCCACCCAAACCCAAAGCTTTTACACCTGAAAAGTGAGTGTAAGTGAGGCAAAAATTCCAACTGGTGGATACATACCAATTTTTCTTTGTAATTCTCCCGATAGTTTAAAAAATAAGGTTTGTCTTGCCTCATTTGATGCTCTTGGAGTTCTAATTTTATCTATCCACTGATATTCTGGATCATCATCTACGATAAGTTCTTCTACAAAACCATTTATTACTTTTGCCTGATAGCCTTGAGGAATAATTGGAGCTAAAACATCACCATTTTATTTTTAAATTCATATTTAAAAGCCATAAGAAAAGCTTACAATAAAAAAAATAGACTCCACAGGACGACTGACGAAATCTATTGAAATCTGAGAACAATTCTACTTTGACAGTGACATTTACTTCACCACGTATACCATGCATGGTATCAAAGACAGGAATCCATCCAGATATTTCATGGTTTGGATTATTGTCACCAAGGGCCAACTGGCCAGCAACGGGCAACAGAAGTGGATTTAAGTTCAAATACACTTTTCCTATGGCATCATTTGCTGAATAGGTGTCATGATCCATGAGTCTTATTTGTAGAGGTTCATCTTGTAGTTCTGAATCATCTACCTGAAACACATGTAGGCATTATAATTTAAAAGTCAGCAACAAAAAAGAGACTTCCCGAAAAAATGCCTAATGCAAGTGTAGGAAAACTGAAACAGATAACATAATTACGTTCCGTACCCTAATTTAAATATCTATTTATTTTTAAACTACAAATCAATTGAAAATAATGACAAAGTTTTGACTTTTGAAAACAAATATCATGCTGGCGGACGATATCAATATTGCAAACCCCGTGCCCGACAAGTTTGATAATCAACGGTTTCGCGCCCGTCTTTGTTTCATATTTTTGTAACTTGATACTTAGGTATTAAATCCAGTATTGTCAAGTCAGTAGGTTCCAAAACTCCGTCAGTAGAATTTTTTTGAAAGAAACTGTATTTTGTATCTTAAAAAATGATCCTAGATACCAAAAAAGCATTATACAGAAGAGTATCTTAGATACTGAATAGTATCTTAGATACCAAAGAGTATCTTAGATACTGAAAAATATCTAAGTTACCGAAAAGTTTCAGTCGGGTGTCTACATTTTGAATTATGGTATTATACGGCGTTTAATGATGAAACCAACACACTTGGCACAGAGAGGTGAAATTCACTCCCAGCGGTATCTATGTACTTATATTGTTTGGTTTTCTGAAATTTCCTATTATTGTCATAGAGAATCGATTTTTGATGTCAAACTGTACTGCAATTTTGCATAACATTTAAAAATAAATCGATCCTGAACGTTTGGCGGTTTGACTCAAATGGTGAATACAGGCACAGGGAAATACATTTCAAATTAAAACAATAATTAATTTGTTTTTAAAAAAATTACTGAACCCTTTCATATCTGCCAATTAATGTACTAGGAAACATGTTTTCTTTATTCATTCTCATCATTCTCGATCAGGGGTGTAGCTCATAGAAGGAAACGAAGAAGCAGAAAGCCAGATCATGGAAGAACTCAACAAATGGGAGAAAGACCAACTGTCATCATATTGGAGGCACACTCCGGGACTCAGACAGCCAAAAAGGTTTATTACCCTTTCAGCAAAAATAGCTGAACAGCTCCTAAACATGAGCAGACCAGCCATCAGATTGGTGGTAGGACTGCTCACAGGACACTGCCTGGTAAAATACCATTTTAGCTTAATGGGCAGAGCAGAAGACGATCTCTGCAGATTCTGCTCAGACGCAATAGAGACCGCACACCTGCTCTGCGAATGTTCAGCCCAATTCTGCAAGAGGCTCAAATTCCTCGAGGGGGCAACACTGTCACCAGAAGAAGTGGGCCAACTGACACCCGGGAAAATAGCTTCCTTCGGCAGAAGTCTACACTTCCTGGAGACAACTTAAGATGTAGAGTCACGTACAAAATATCTGCAAAGATAGCAGTGCTGAGCGGCTGAAAAGCCGGAACGACTCCCCCACAATCTACAATCTACAGGGGTGTAGCTTGAGGGCTAAAAAATGTATATTGAATTCAGCATTTTGAAGTGAAACTTCTTTGCTGAAGGGGCGACAGTTTTCGAGCTGATCAGTGCGTGAGCGGCGACCGGAGGGGGGATACCTAAAGAGGATACGCACATGATTGATTGGCAAACCGCAGGAGGGAAAATGGATATGTAGCGTAGCATATATAGAATCTAACCGTGCGTTCGGTATTTTGCTCAAAGAGCAGAGCGTGCAGAGCGGAGCCATAATCACTTGACCAGCGAGCGAACAGAGTAGTTGAACGCTGTATCAGAGTGCCCAAAACTTTAATAAACGAACGCTAATGAGCCTGCACCGAGTACACTTTTCAAATAAACGAACGGTAAATTAAACTCGGAGAACTCAGATCAAAATAACGAACGCACGGTACATATGTGTTAGTGGGAACGACGGGTGAGGGAGACGGCAGGGAGGAGGTAGAAATTACGCCGCTGGGATGCTACGGAATTCTCCGAGTGTTTGTCTCCAGACAAACTTACCATGATTGATTCATCTTTTCGTCAAATTCATAATTCAGTATTTCTTGTAAAATATATTTCAATACATTACGCTTGATCGTTTTGCTCAATCATTTTATATCATACCCCTACTATTCCAATTGTTAGGTATCTCCGAGGGTATCTCTTGTTGAAAATAAATACTAATAATTCTAATTGTTGAGAAAGAAGTTTTTCCAAATTGAAAACCGTTGATTTTTTTGTAGTGGCCAGCCCCAAATACTGGAAGACCGGTGTGAAGTCACTGATCTCAAAAATAAATGGATAAACAAAGAACGCTTCTGATGCTGCTAATTTACGAGGTCATAATCTAAACAATAACAACTGACTGGGACAGCTGTGAGCGTCCGCAGTAGATACATGTACTGTGCGTGCACAAAACCTGGCCAATGAAAATGAAGGAATTTCAAAATTTAGAACAGATGTTCGAAAGATAAGACACTGCGCAGGCGTTAGGCTGTTCCGTTGACCCCAAATTTTCGCACAAATTTTGCCAATCAAGCCGTATGATTGTTTATCCATTTATTTTTTAGATCAGTGTGTGAAGTTAGCACGCCGCTCGAGCACGCCAAAGTGTGAAGTTAGAAAAATGGTGTTTCTGGTTCAAATTTGGAAAGATGCTTGTTCAAGAGATGCTTTATCGTCCCTCAAAAGGAAAATTCCTTGCCAGCCGTCAAACTTATGAAAATCATCCCTTGTATATAAAAATATTGAAAATTTCATATTTTCTTATTTTTTGTTCAGACACCTAGATGATGTTTCACGTTCAAATTTGGAAGATTGCTTGTTCGAGGGATGCTTTATCATCCCTCAAAAGGAAAATTCCTTGCCAGCCGTCAAACTTAGGAAAATCATCCCTTGTATGAAAAAATATTGAAAATTTCATATTTTCTTATTTTTTCTTCAGACACCTACAAGGTGTTTCACATTCAAATTTGGAAGGATGCTTGTTCAAGGGATGATTTATCATCCCTCAAAAGGAAAATTCCTTGCCAGCCGTCAAACTTAGGAAAATCATCCCTTGTATGAAAAAATATTAAAAATTTCATATTTTCTTATTTTTTCTTCAGACACCTAGATGGTGTTTCACGTTCAAATTTGGAAGGATGCTTGTTCGGGGGATGCTTTATCATCCCTCAAAAGGAAAATTCCTTGCCAGCCGTCAAACTTAGAAAAATCATCCCTTGTATGAAAAAATATTGAAAATTTCATATTTTCTTATTTTTTCTTCAGACACCTAGATGATGTTTCACGTTCAAATTTGGAAGATTGCTTGTTCGAGGGATGCTTTATCATCCCTCAAAAGGAAAATTCCTTGCCAGCCGTCAAACTTAGGAAAATCATCCCTTGTATGAAAAAATATTGAAAATTTCATATTTTCTTATTTTTTCTTCAGACGCCTAGATGGTGTTTCACGTTCAAAGGACATGGCACTATTTAAGTGTAATTTGGCCCTCTGCTGATTTTTCTGAAATTTGGATATGTTGTAGTCGACACCAAAATAAGACTTTTTTATCATTGCGCCAAAGTTCTAGGTCTACCGGAACTGCCCGAAAAGTAAGGTCAAAGTAATAAAAACGGACATGAAGAAATGCTGATTTTAATGAATTATTATTCTTAATAAGTCAATGGTATATCTAGACAATAATCAACTCAATTTTAAACAAGTATCATAATATTTTCACATATTATTAACTATATTTCCATTAGCTACAAGGTGTTTTCCATAAGTATTTCGAAAAATCACATTTTACGAGTACCATATTGTATTATGGTATCTACGTAAAGTATGTGTATAATATGTATCTATATTTGTTTATCTAATCTTATACGAACACATAATTTTCGACAGTGGCGTAGAAAGGGGTAAGGAGCAGGAAGCTCCGCCCTTCTTCCGAAATTCCTCGAAATTCTAATACAGCGCCTCAGAAAAGCATTTTTATTTATTTTATTAGCAGAAATAAAAAAGTATGACAATATAGGTTGTAATAAAATTGTGTAGGTATGTCAATATAATATTCTAAAAAATGTTGTGGATACCACAGAATAAAAAAAAGCTAATGATACATGTCGGAAAACCTCGGAAAAAACCTACTACACTAATAAAAAAACATGGAAAGAAAAATTAAAAAAATATTTCATTATTTCCAAGTAGCATCATCTTTTTTAAAGTGAAGTACAGGGTGTTTTCAATGAACTGGCGCGTCGGAAAATAGACTTTGGATTTCAAAAAGACAATTTACTGTCGATGGGTGTAATTCGGCTAAAATATTTTCAAAATTAATCAAAATGGTCAGACTTTTGGTTATACCGGGTTGATGTCAACGTGCCTATTTTAAATAGGAAATAAACAGTTGAAAATCGAATTGCAATAGAAAAGCTTTGACAGATTTGTTTTGATGTTGCCAGAACTTTTGTAGTTGACAAAATCGAAAATAGCTTTTGACACGTTACTATTTAATGATAATTTCCTATCAAAATGGTAAACTGTTTTGTGTGTGCGACAACAAGATGAAAATCTGAATCGAAAGAGAACCGAATTGACTCTCTTGCACAGATCAAAATTTCGATTGCCAGATCAAAATATTAATGAAGATACGAAAATATGCGCAAATTGTGACCAGAGAATTCAAAAATGTATTGAATTAGAAGGTAACGAGACTGCCATTAGCATGGAAGTTTTAGTTCGGAAACGAACAGAAAAATGTTTTATTTGCAATGGTTTCACTAACAACAGACTTTTGCTTGATGCGCGTATCGATTTTTATATAAAAACTAATACCTTTATCCCCGATAAAGTTCGATGCTGTCTAGATCACAACTCTTTCTGGAAACGTCCAGTTACAATTTATGCAAAACATTATATCTATCCTGACACCCGTTTTATTAAATGGAAAAAAATTATCTGTATGGCTTTCAAAGTTGCGTGAAATGGTACGTTTATCATCCGAAAAGAAATACGACAGTGAGGAAAACTTCACGGATGAAGAAATTACTTCTCTAACTTCATTAAATAAAAACAAATTC